TTTAATAGTTATCTGTTTATAACATCGCTGTGCTGTCCGTGCAGGGGGGAAGGCAGGTATTAGGATCATGAGGTGCATGTACCTTTGTATGAGTGTTTATGGGGAATGCCAAGTAATTGCCTCTAATGATAGGAGGAACAAAATGAGCTAATAAAAGAAAACACAGAAGGCAGATATAAGATTAACACGAGGGTTGATATGACTTCTGTACCTCTTTCAAAAATCTTTTTTTGTTTTTCTTGGAGTTCAAGTGACAACAAATTCTGTCTTTTCTTAGACATGAAAACAAAGAGGTAAAATTCCTCAAGGTGTAATGCATCTTTATATTTGCATGCCGGAGCAGTGCAAGGAGAACAATGCATTGCACTGTGAAGCAATTAGGATATGAGGAACAGCTGCAAAGGGAGGCATAATGGAAAAGTTCACAGCTGAGGGAGAACCTAGAACTAAAAGGAAATAACATGTAATTAAAGAACCTCAATCTAAATGTACATATGGAGAAAAAAAAGTAAAATGACTAATACTTGTGTGCAATTTTTTGAATGTTTTTTTTTTTTTAATTCAATTTTTTTGTTGTTGATTTTACTTGTAAAAGGGAGATGGATATACACCAACATAGAGGACTTCTGCCAAAGCAAGCAAAAGAAAGTCAGATATGCTCTTCAATCAAGCAAATCAAATCATAGTAATTTACCTGCTTAACTTGGCTAAACAGGAAAAGAAGAGAATCAATTTTTTTTTAAAAAGCAGTCACCCCTACAAACTCCTCCAACTCAAATGCAAATTGTGACGGTGAATACTGTCTGCACTTCAAAAGTAAAGGTATGGCAGCATCATCTTACAAGTTGGATTCTCCTGGGTAGCCAAAACTTTTTCAGACACAGTGACTGATTTGGCTGAATGACACTTCCTGACTTCGCAGCCAGAGGGAGGCATTTGACACAGTTTGACTGACGCTTGCTGCCAGGCAAACTTCTTTATAGACGTCTTATCTTGATCAACATTTTCTTTTAGGATGAATAACGGTGGAGAACATGTAAAGTTATGAGCAAAGAATTGTTTTTCTTTCTAAAGCAGTTCCCTCACACTCTACTTAACTGAGACAATCTGCATATTCTTCAAAAATCCTAACTTTTTAACTGCAAGTGCTTTCTTGTAGTATGAAGTTAACTTTAAGAAACTTTAAGGGAAGCAGTTTTTAGTCTTTATACGGTACAGAAAGAGTAAAACTGCAAATAAAATTTTCAAACTATGCGTGAAAAATTGGTGGCTTTAGATTGCAAGCATTAAGAGCCCAGAGGCTCACTTCTAGTATGACGTGAGAGTGTGTGCTTGACTTTTTGGACTACCAGCACAGTTATAGTCATCTATGATTGAACATTTCTTGAGTTTGAGCTTGAAGTGTGGGTTTTCTTCTCTTCATAGCACTTCTCAGAAAAAAAAAGTCATTCTCGTGAATGGGATCCATTGACCCAAGCTGGAACTGAGTGACACCCTGTGGTGCCGTGCCAGCACAAAAACGGTTCATTTGTTTATAAACTGACAATCAAAGGCAGGCCAACCTTGAGAAGCACTGAGAGACACAAAACATGGGTTTGTTCTGAAACCCCAACAAAACCAAAGAATTGATGTTTTAACTGTGAATGAATGACATTTCTTTTGGGTAAGTACTGTTTATTTTTTTCCAGTGTAATATTTGATTACAGAGAGAAATCTTAATTTTAGTTATTCTCTCTAAGGTTTTTCTTTGAGCCTATTCTAAGGAAAAAAAGCCTTTCCACTGTGCAAAGACAAGACTTTTTTAGGTAACAGAATCCTTCCTCTGCTTGCATCTTTCAGTTTTGACAATAAACAAACTCATTAGACTAATTTTCAAATTGTTGTTCTTTTTAAGTAAACGGCTATGAAATGTATTCTTTTTAATCAATACTCATATTTTATTTGTATGTTTGCTTTTTACTACTTTTCTATTGGCTAATCACAATCAGGACTGTTTCGACTGAAAATTGCAGCGGCTCTATTTTCCTCCTGTACTGACAGATCAATAGCCCTCAATTTAAAGGCTGCATCATATAAATCTGAAGAAATTTCTCCGTCGTGCCGGGTGCTAGCATCTGCTTGTTCTAAATTAAAATTAGTGCTTTCTTCTTTGATTTCCAATTCTGAATTCCAATGGTCACTTCCTGTTGAAGAGTCTCCAGGCAGTTGAAGAAAAATCCACAGAAAAGCCCCACCGGGCTACAAGCCGCACAGTTCAAAGCAAAAAAAAAAAAAAGTAGCGGCTCATAGTCCAAAAAATACGGTACTGGTTAAGTAAGACTCAGAGAACTTACAAAGTAAGTTTCACCAAAGTAATCATTAGTTCAAAAAATAACTGCTAAGTTATGAAGTGACTAGTATGTTCCATTAAAGTTTTATAAAAGTATCTGATAAGTATCAGAAAATCCTTCGTAAGTTCAGAAAAGTCATCAATGTGTTCCAGGAAAGTAACTTGTAGGGTCAGAGGAATATTGTTCTATAGTACTCATTTTTGTGAAACAAAGAGACTATTCAACAAAAGCCAGTTTGTTCTGAGGTTTATAAATTAGCTCCACTCTGGTGAAGGTTTTAAACTTTGCTGTTAAGCTGTTATAAAAACTTGACTGAATAAAATTCAGCAAACAGTAATTATTGTGATTTGTTTTATCACAAATGATTGACTTTTAGATTACAATTTCTTTAGGTGAATGCAGTAAAGTATAATCATTCAGGCATTTCTTAAACACTGCAGGTATACAGGACCAGAGACACAGAAGTTAAACAAAACCACACTGTAGAACTTTGAGCAAAAAATGACCTTGTGCAGCACAAAACTACAGTAAGATTGGTAGGTTTTATGACCTGGGCTGATGGCATGTCTTTATTTTTGTCTATAGTTTCATGTTTTACAGGAAACAGGAGTCTGCAGAGACATCTGCTTTTAATTTCTCCAGGTTCAGTTGGCCACCCAACCTCCAGTCCAATGTGGTGCGCTTCTGTAAAAACCGAGTTTCTGATTATATTTTCTTACCAAAATAGATTTACGCAAAAAGAAAAATAAATATATATATTTAAATATTTTATTTAATTTGGACAAGTTAAAGAAGTTCTGTTGGTGAAAAAATGATTCCACGTGTTGTCTGTGTTTGCTTGATGTGGTTATGAGGTGCATTACCCTATAAATTAGATAGTATTTAAAGTGAATGCAATAAACATAATTTCCTCCGGCTAGTTTACTTCCATCATATCAGTGTCCACTGAGCTCTCGACTGTCAGAAAGGCACTAGTTTCCTCTGGTATTGAGTTGAATATTTTAACCATCATTGTTTGTTAATAATTGCAAAAGCATCGAAATGAAAATATGTCAAAGAAGAGAAGACTCCATCAGTCAAGAGGTCAGCTGATATCAATCTTCCTGTTTGAAGGTAAGACTTTGGTCTAAATATAAAAAAGGATTTTTTCATTCTCGACTGCAGGTAACTATTGTGGCTTGACTCCTGACATTCCCGCTGTTCTTCAAGCTGTGTTTCAAATAGTAAATGAGCTATAACATCTGTCAGCAAGAGCACTCAGCAGGAGGCAATTAGGGGAGTGACCTGCAACTTTGTTTGTTTGCTCTTTTATGGAATGACTGAGTGACATACATGGTTTGTTGTTTTTGAGACGTTTTGAGTTACATGGAACAGATCGAAACCGTCATTTAGAATTGCATGCTGTCTTTAACATGATGTAAGTTTAATGGAGCCATAAGACTGACTTACTGAAGTGACTTAAGCGATGCAACTAAAGTTCAGTTTTACCCTTCACAATCACGCAGTGAAATGTTCCAGTATTTGATTTCAATGTGCTTGTAATTTCAGTGGTGAATGTCTCTTTCATACAAAAAGTATGAAAATTTATAGCTGTCATTTGTATGTTGAATATCAAATTATTGTTAGTGTTAAATATAACCAGGCTATGTTAGTTCAATTCACATAAAACACTTTCTGTGGGCCTAATATCAGCATTTATCTCTGAGATGAAAATAGCAAAATGTTCAGTGATGTAAGTCAAGAAATAAACACACTTTAGTGATCTATCTCTTAAATCTCCTTATTATCCTGCACACGTAGATAACCCAAAGCACAGCTCCACCTTAAATGAAAGCACAAGCTAAATAGTCAATTAGCTATCTTTTCCTGTTGACAGAACGAATCTATTAACTTTCATTTCCTGTACATCGAAAAGATCCCTTGCTGCTCCAGTTTCCTGTTTGCTCCAGTTTTTCCCTTGTTGCTACAGCTTCTTTAGTTTGTTTAGCTTGTCTCAGATCTTAACAAACTCCTAATAGCACCGTTCATTAGAGAATATGTGAACAACTGGTTAACATGCCATGACTTATCAATGGTAGAATAATGGCAGCAATGTTTAGAATTCCATTTACAGGTTTGAATGAGTTTATAAAGGAACGCTTAATGGAAATGCTATAACACTTAAAAGCAGTTTCATCATATTTCTGCTATTCAAAATGTAACACTTTTAATTTTGATAACCCAAGGGATTTCTAACAGTGACAGAAATAAACATTACAGAATTTAAATGTCAAACTTTGCTGCATAAATGAATTAAAGACGTACAAAGTAACATGTCCGATGCATTATAATAGCATACATTATATCTGTTACCTGAACAAAAACTGATATGAACTATTGGACTTGGATTTCACAGTTATCGTTGTTTTTACTTGTGTTTAGCTGCTGCCAAATAATAATGTTTGGTTTCCAACCGTCCTTCCTCACATATCTTGGTTTTGTTCCCTCACGGTTGTTTTCTAATAGTCATCACCTCAAGTTTTCTCTGTCATCTTTAGAAAATCTAGTTTTCTCTTGTTTTTTGCTTTCCTTTCTTACTGCCTCCATTTGTTTGTTATGGATTAGAGTCACTGAAAACAAAAAATTTCTGATTAGATTTTCTCAGAATTATGACTTCTGTTGTTCTACATATGAAACATAATAACAGTACTTTCTTTAATTTTAATTACAGTCCAAAAATGGCAATAAACAAAAGAGTCTGTCTAAATAAATATTTTATTGTTGCTACTATTACAATTATCTTATTCCATAGATGACATGTAACTGTCCTAAAATATTACACTGAACATGTTCTACATGTGTGGACAGGATTTATTATAACTGTGATATTATCACTATCATTATCTTGAAACACACTTGGATACTGTAATAACAAAAATATTTATAAAATGTCTGACAATGTTCTGTATGCTTTATAGGAAAGCTAATGTAGTTAAATAATTTAAGCCTAATAATAAACAAAAATGAGTTCTTTCAACAAACACATCAAAGCAAGAAATAACACTGATAGATTAGATTCAATACAATCATCTGTCCATATCACAACTTTAATTTCAGTGTGAAACATGACATGGGCTGTGGTGGTTAGTTCCTGATGTCCTTTAAGAAATGCGGTGCTCATTTATTTATCAATTCATATTAAAACAATGTTCCTCATCATTTTTATAGCCCTAAAAAATAACTGTAGCATAAAAAAAAACACTATGTACAATTTCCCCAACCAATACATCTGACAACATCAAAGAGATTGTAAATGAAAGAATAAATTAAGTTGTGAAGAACACTTCTGGTTGCAAACACAAGGCTGGTTGCAAATACATGCAGAGGACATTTCCATCCTCTGCATGTATTTGTTTTCCTCAAGATCCGACAAACTCACTCGCAAGCAAACGCAGCATAAACATGCTAACTCAGACAAGCACACTGAATACAAATGGGTCAAGTTGTGTCTATGAAGAATTTTTAAAGTTCAAGAATGTTCTGAATAATATGCATGTTGCAAGCACTAATGGGTAGCTAACATCTGGCAAAAAGGCAAATGAGACATGAGAAAATATTCTGGATTTTATTTCTTTCACTTGCATTTTCTTTTGCATTCTTTGTGCAAAGTGTTATCATCACAAAGTAACAAAAAAACAAACCTGTATTGCTCCAAGAAAACATGTAAAATGTTTTATTATTTATTTATTTATTTATTTATTTTTACCAGCTCATTAGTCCATTGACATCAGTTCCAACTCAGGTTTCTCAAGCCTGACAGTTTCATGAAAAATATTTTCTGGTGGGCCTCAGGTCCTAATAAGTCCTCATGCTGAACTGAATTTAAACTCTTTAATGCTTTTATTAGTACAATAATTGATGTCCTGCTAGAGGACTGCAGACCCTTTCTGAAATACCAAAGCTATAAGTGTGAAGAGCAAAATAAGTAAAGCGTAGGGAAAGGAGGTGATGGGTGATGAAGACTGTAAGTGATGGGAATTGTGCTGGCTGTAGACTTTGTTTGGTGGCTCCACTGTGATGTAGCCATTGATGATACGAACCAAAGGAGGAGGCGGAGACTGAACCATGGAACTGCAGAAGGAAATAAGATAACAAGATGAATACATAATGTAACAATACTATTTTTTTCTGCTCATTTTCTTACAAAAGTTGGTTAAATGGATTTGTCCTAATTAGCTTTATGGTCTAAACACCAACAAACTGTAGTTTTAAAGAATAATCTCATATGTTTGAAATGAAAAGTCATGTCACACTTCTGAAAAATGTTGGGAGGTTTCCAGCAAAACTTAGCTATAGAAAGCAAGTCTCTGCAGTCTAAAGCAACCAGGTATTTTTACAATATAACTATGCAAAAACTGCATCAGAAAGTCCCTGCTCTGCAGTGAACCTGCCTGTGTGTACTCTGACCATTTCTCCTTTTTTTGACATTAAAATACACAGACATGTATAAGGAGGGCACTTTGTAGCAAGCATAAGCAAACAGTCTGTTTCTTTTCCCATTTAAAATTCAGAGTCTTGCATAAAGAAAGAAAAATAATTTCTACTGACATAATGTAAAGCACTTTATATGACATTTCCATCCTCTGCATGTATTTGTGTTCCTCTTTGGGTTGTCATATTTAATTCACACAGTCCAGCCTTGTGTATGTCAGATGAAACTGAAAACTCCAACTGGCCTATAAATGCTATTTATTGTGGACTGTATTGGTTGACTCCATGACAAATGACTGGAAATGGAGACACTGAACAAATGGTTCTTTCTGATTAATAACTCTAGGAAATGAAAGAACAGAGTCTTATCCTTTTTGACAACTAAAATGAAAGCAAAATCTTGCTGTGACAAAACATACAGAAGTTTTTTCACATGGCAGGCAAGTCCTTTTTGTCAAAAAGGTGAGGTTGTTTTGTTCTGCGGTTAGCCCCTGCCTACAGCTATGGTGAGAACCAAGTCAGGTTTAATTGTCAAGTTACTATTTTTACTTGTAAGATACTGATACCAGCTCCAGATGAAGCGTGGATCTAATGTTTGTGTTCTGTAACTAAAAGAAGAGGATGTGATTTGATATGTTGGCTGTTTGTTTGGTGATATAGTAGCTATTTGAGCCCCCAGCATCACATCAGGAAGTTCCCCACAGCCTTCTCACATATCCAATGAAGTAACGTGTTTATCTTCATTCGTTAAACAACTATTTCCAACTACTACCATACTGCTGTGGTCAGACGCTGATATACAATTATCATGCATAAATGTCATGTTAATACAAGGCTTTTGATAAGTATTTGATAAGTATATATACTCTATTTTTAGATTATTAAACACCTTTTAAGTTTTTTAAAAAGAAAAGATGGATGGATGGAACCAGAGGTTCCTTACTTGATCTGAGTCTTGTTAGTCTATGGCCGCATAAAACTTGTTTTGTTGTCGACAAAACTTTTTCAAAATGAATTCAAACCGATGCACCTATTGTTGTTTTGAAAAACCACAGAAGCTATATGCTGCACATTTTCTCACCCTTTAAATCAGTTTGTAAAAGACCAAAATAAAGTTGTCATCTCATCTTTCGGTTGTCTTTCCCCTTACCTCTCTTCTATGCGTACCCAGAGGTCATTGAAATGTCGATTTTGTTGTTTCTTTTGCTTGTTCCGCCTCTTTTTCTTCAACATCTTTTTTTCTGCTTTCTCTAGAAGATCCAGGCTGTCTGCAGGAAGGAGCATGTGGGGTAGTGGGTCCTCTTCCAGAAGAACTCCCTGATCCTCGTCCTTGTGTGGGAGCTCATGGAGGAAGGGTTCCAGAAGAGTAAAGTCATCCTGGTGATCCTCCAGTGCTGGGGAAGCAGGTTTTGATGATGATCTCCTAAATGACACAAACACATTAATAAGTTGAAGAACAGACATGGGAAATGTGTTTTAAGCCTTTTATGAAGAAGTTCCTAATACACTTTGATTCTACTCTGTTTTCTTTGACTCTCTTTGTGACCCATAAGCTTTGAATAGGTTCACAAATATGTAATTACATTTCACATCTTTGCAGTTGAAGACTGCAAACACTGGAAAACAAAAATCAGAGATGTATCCTTTTTTTCTTCCCAGGAACATGTGGACCTTTGAAAAGTTGACACACCCATCCTAGGAGGAAGTTTTTCTTTTCTTAGATTTTAGTCAGCCATGGCAAAATGAAGATGAAGGAGAAAAGCAAGACTGAAGAGGAGAAAGATGAATTTCGGAAGTATTGAAAAAGGGTAAGGAGATAATACAGTAAACAAGATCAAGTTTTATAGAAAATACATGTGCATATGTGTGTGTGCATGTATGCAAATACAAATTAAAAGCATTTTGAACAGTGTGTATGGGTGTAGTGAAGCCTACACACTTGATCTTCATAACATTTATTGACAGCTTTTCAGTTCCACATGGATCTTTGTAAGGTTAAACATTTGCCAAGTTGTGAACATGTCTCATTGCTTTCTAAATGTTTGACCTGTTGAAGCATTGGAACATAAGCAACGATAACAACCACATCTGTGGACACATCTTTAACAAAGAATGATATCCACATACTGTAGAGCAGTGTGTTCTGCCATCCAGATGTTGTCTTTCTCAAGAGGGACCCATGTACTTAAGCAGAAATACTTTCTGCACATATTGCAAATGATCTTCTTGCTGTAAATTAGGTTTAAAGTGGTCCAAGGGTGTCATCCACAGACAGTAGTTAATGTGTTACGAGTAAACGTTTTGCAACAGACAGAAAGTTTTAAAGTCCCCTTTAAGAAGCAAACCATGGACAGCATTTATCTTAAACTACTCTCCTCAATCCACATCACCTACAAACTTTTACAAAAGCTGATATGATGTTATTTTACTTCAATCTACATAATAAATCGCTCAGTTTTATTTCATTTGCATTATTACACATAAATACAAACACAAAATTTTTCAGACTCGCATTATTAACCCAGTGACACGGATCAGGTGCTGGTTCATTTCAGGCTCATAATCCCATATCAAACACAGGCTCTTGTGTGTGAAAGTAGATTTACTCATTCATTCGAACACACACAGGAACAAGAACGCAGATTAAAAGTGAAGATAGCCACCCGCAGTGCTCCATGCTCGACTGGCTGCACTACATGCCTCACAGCAGGAGGTATGAGCCAAACGTAGGTTGGACTTTTCAACAATGCGTCATTGGTGGGCCACTGGGGAATTTGTCAGACTTATCAGCTGTGCAATCTAAAACACAGAAGAAGTCAGCGACATGCAAAAACCGTTAAAGAATGAGAGCTGTCAATAAGAATTATTTCTGCTGAAACAGTGAAATGTAAACATTGCATCTACGATATCATGCAGTCTGATTAGGGGACGACCTTTACCCATATGTGTTATTCTGTTGACTTTGGGGGCAGGAGGGTGTGAAGAAAGTGCATCACAATATATATTAGTTACTGTGGCAAAATCTAGTTGTATTTTGCAGACTGCAGACAACTGAAAAGACGTAACTTTCTTAGTCAAAACTAAACATCAAAGCAATAAACAGCTCAGGAGAAAAGGTCTGATTGCTACATTTAATGGATCATTCTAGTCTTGAACAAATAGTGGCAAAAAAAGATCCTACTAACTATTTTTTCCTCCCACCTCAACAATTTGTGATTTTATGCATAAGACACAACACAAAATTCATTTTTTACTAGTCAATTCAAGTTAGTTATATATTCAGTTCATATTCCAGCTTTCATTGTGTCTACTTTGATACTAGAAGCAACTATGATTTTAAAAAGTCAATCACGCAATTACAAAAATGTTATTAGTTATGATACCCTTAGTTATTGTTTTTATATAGTATATACTAAAAAAACAGGATGAGTCAAACTCATAAAGGTTGATGGAAAAATTATTGGGCCAGAATAGAGGGTAATATAGGTCTTTATTGTCTAATAGAACACCTATTAGACAATGCAACAGACTGGAAACGAATATTGAACTTGTTACATAACATTTTCCATTCATTAGAATGGCCTTGTTCAAGTACTGACCTGAATGTAACTGAAAACCTTCAATCGGTCTTTCATATAAAATCTTTGCAGTGTGTGGTTGTGTTTAACTTGCTTACTACCAGTGCTGTTACCTCTTTATGGGCTGTCCAGCAGGCGTGTGTTCCACCTCATATCCCTGGCGGCGAAGCACATCGATAACTGTGTTGTTGCCAAGAAAGTGACCTGCAACCAAGAAATTAAACTCATGACTCCCCTTTTTCCAAAGCTAAGAGTGATGCATTAACGCTAACAGAAGCAGGACATTTGATATAAAGGGCTCCAGAATACAGTAGAGTAGAGCAGGAATAAAGCAGTTAGGACTGGAAGACTCAAGACTGCAAGAATGTAATATGAAAAGAAATAGGAAGGACTCAAGGTAGAGGAGATGTTACAGTCATGCAACAGTAATAATATCAAATGTAAACACAATAAATTCAAATTAAAGAGCATGATTCTTTAAAATGATATTTTGAAAACGATAAAAGAAAAAGTTTCAGTGGTTTATTGTGTCCAATTAGCTACAATTTGCCTCCGATTTTGAAAAATAACACAAAAATACTCAAAGGTTAGGGTTTTATTTAAACTCCTCATCTCTACTCCTTGTTTTCATCGCCAACCATTTTGATCTCTTCATTCACAATCGTACTAATCTTTTCCATCCCCTCTACTTGCCTGTCCTCTCTCTCTCTCGCTGTGACCCTCTCAGCTAGGTGAAGTGGGACCATTGAGGCTTCAGGTTGCCATGTCAAGAGGTCTCCATTCTTCCTCTCATACTGACAAAAGGGAGCAGTGGCCTATTGTTTAGGCCTGCTCAGCCGTGGCACCACGGAGCTGTGTAAACAATGAACCCCAGCACTTTAATCTGGGTCAGAGCCACCGATAGAAACAGGCTATCCTGGATGCACTATAGGTGCCATGTTGATGCCACCATGACTATGGTGTCACATATTGATGAATATGCAATGTTTAAATATGCATCAGTTGGATTTAGTCTATAAGATGTAAATATCCAGACCAAACTCCCAAATAAAAATAGAGATCAGAATGAATCAAAGGGATAAAAGTTTTACAGCTTGCTTTCATTTAGAAACAGCTTAACTTTTATTCAACCTCAAGATTTATTCAAGTCTACATCACAGGACCGAGGTGGGATTAAATTATGCTGCTTGACACAATGTAGGGGAATGGAAAGTTCAGACACATTAGTATACACACAATAACATGCCTACATAAGCATACAGATATATGCAAATTTTCAGGACGTACCACGACAAACTATCTTCAGTGGGAGAGCAGAAAAAATAAGTGTTTTTTTTAAATATAAAAAAAGAAAGCATTGGGTTTTTTTATATTTTGAGAAAAATAAATGAATGTGAAATATAATTTCAAAATAGTGGGAGGCTTTTATGAGCCCAAGACACAAAAGCAAGCAAAGCCAAACTTAGCAAGACACTCAATGGTCATTTGAAACTAAAAAACGCGACAGAAAGAGTTCTATAGCTGTAGTCTTCAAATATCTTTTTTAGATTCACAGAAACTGAAAATCCAAGTATAAATCTGATTCATTGTGTATACTAAATTTAGAATTTAACAATACTTTCTCAAACAGATCATCTGCATTTATTTTGATGCAAGATGACTCTCACAGAGGTTATGTAATGTTTTCAGTACCTTGCTCCTAATTTATGACTAACTGAAATTGTGCCCTGCTGGTTTCACATATGGCTTCATTACAGAGCCATTTTTAGACTCATTAATTCACGGCATCAAGCAGACAGCAGATAAAAATGGGAAAAAAATAAATAAATAAAAATTTCAACATGCAACATTATCTAATGTGAAATCGTAAAGCTATTTTTTTTTATCTGAAGTTTTATGCATTAGTTACAGAAATGTTCCACCTTAAGCTAAAAAACGTGTTTCTCTGGCCCTGCTTTGGGCTCATGGCATAACTTGCACTTGATATTTATTTACAGCCTCTCACTGGAAACAGACCTGCAGCCCTGCAATTTACAGCCGTGGACAGTTTTGGGCGTCCACATCTGGAGTAATCTGGAGCAACATCTGACATGTATTTCCACTGATTATTTACTTAGGCTTATTTCATACATCTTAAATCGATGAAATTGGCCAGGGATATTCGCACCAATGCACAATATGTTCACTGTATGCCTTTTAAGTTGCACCAAGAGAAGGGAGATGGTGGAGATAAAGATACGAGACAAACCTGAAAGCCTTCATTCACCGTGTACTCTCTTCATCCAGAAACATGAAATGGACCACTTAGTAAGAGAGGCAAAGATTAGGTCATGTGTTGCTTGGAAATGCTTAATTTTAATGTTTGGTCCAATTTCCTCTAATGCGACAGCTTTGAAAGCAGGCCAAAAAAGAAAAAAAAAACTATAAATAAGTTTTACACCAACACACTATGATTTGAGAAAGTCTTTATCCTCATTGCCTTTAACATTGAAGCTAATCACTGATTAAGTCAAATATATTTTAGAAGTAACTGTTGTTTTAGAAAATACCTATAAATGTGGATTAGTCATAAATAGGCCATTTAAAAGTGCAAGAAAATTTAAGAAATTGCAAACAAGTCTTAAAAAAATACATTAACGAGACAAATCAAAGCTGAAAATATTGAAGGTCCAATGTTATGATTTATTTTAGACAGTGTGGTATTACATGCTCCGCCAAGATAATTGTTTCAACTCAAACACTAAAGAGGAATGTCATTAAGACCTAAAAGACATTAAACAAAAAACAAACATACTGGCTCATGATGATGTTGGATAACATATTAAAAAAAACTTATATGACGAGAACCGATCTCAGTTCATACACTGGTGTCCAATTATCTGAGATTGGATTGTAGATTGTACAAGTTCTTGTCTGTCTTTAAATTGAGTGAACTATGTTTTACTACTCCTCACACCTGCACTTAGAGCTGTGTAAGAGGAGAACCACAAAGGTTCTTCTTGTCAGGAAGACGTGGAATTGCTGCAATCAGAGGCTCAGATTATTAGAACATATGGAAAGTCTTAAATAGTGTTCCTTTTCCATAGTCTTCAATATTTACTCTACAGCTTGAAACCAAGGCCAGAGCAGCAGTTCTCATAACATTACAGCATGCTGGATAAACAAACGCTATAGTAAGTACTGAGGCCTTCCACCCCATGCAGACTTTTCTTGCTGTTTATGTACACATTATGTTCTGCTAGTCAGTAGACTTCAGCAGCCTGTAGTCATCACCTCTGTCCACAAAAAGAAACCTTCTATTGAGGTAGATAACCATAAGGTGTCACCATGCTGTGGAGCATAAAAAGACAAATTAAGCCTATGTAAACTATTGTCAAAGCTAAAAAAAAAAAAAAAAAAGAGACATTTGTGATCCAATGTTTCAGAAATTATGTAACGACACATTTTTTTTGTTTGTTTTTCTGGAAAACCCCAACACTGGCTTGTAACAGCCAAGTAAAACCTCAGGGTGTTCAACTGTCAAAGAGCGTCAACCATCCATAAAAGTGACAGTCATGACAAAGACAAATATGAGGAAAATTACTGGTTATTCACTGGCACAAAAACAACACAGCTTGTCTTGTGTTTATCAAACAAGGCCAGCTCTGTCTAGAAATACAGGCTTTGATAATATGACTTTTTTTTCCAATTATACATGATTTACTTATAATGTTATTTGTACGTGATGGGCACAGAATTCCTTCAAACAATAAACATAACAATCATCAATAATCATTTTGGAGATTGTTTGAAAAGAACACAAACCCGCAGGAAACAGTGTGAAAGATTAAAGACTTGTGGGATAGTGGGCGGCTTACCCTTATGGGGTGATATATCTAAGTATGACTTCACTTCATATCTCTTACAAATAGTTCGTATTTGGCCAGAAAAATTTTCAAGCTCATCCATATAGAGTGACACTAAACACACAGATATGGTTCGGTCATCAGACTGGTATGACTGCCCACATGTCAGGAGAGTTATTTATTACAAATGTATCAAACTGGCATGCCCTTGGTATTTCAACTACGACAAACAATCTACAATAATGCAACTAATAAAAACACTGCCATGGGCATCCCTTGCAAATAAAGGTATGTATGTGGTGAATGTATTTAGAGTGGGGTTGAAATATATAGCGTATTGCTCATGCTGACAACGAGAAGCCCTGGGCTTCTTACTTAGCCATGAGGAGGAGCAGGAGGGAAACTTGAAGAGTTTATTGTTTTACAATAGTTGTAGTGCCAGACATAAAAACCTGCTTAATGACTTGCAGTGAACAGAGGAAAACCTGCAGGTTTTAGATTTCTGAGAATAACCATTTTTGATTGAACTCAGAGAGACTGCAGGGCACCTGGATTAATCCTCAATAGAATACAAATGTATTTTAGAAATACTGGAATACCACATAAAATAGTTTTTGAACTAATTCAGACTAGACCAAAACACACAAATGTATATGTAGCCTAATGTTTCACATAACCAAGGATCAAGGCAGATTGAGGTAGGAGCCAAAAAGCAAGTTTTTCATAATAAGACGCAAAAGCCACAATTCCATCACTGTTCACTGTAGAGTCGTTTCATCTTGCATTTGTCCTCCATTTGTGTAAAAATGTCAACTTGTGGTTTATAGACTGCAAAAAGGGTAGCACATGTTTGCTATTACAGGAACCAAAAATCTTTACTACTAAACAGAATATGAACAAATCTTGTAGAAAGTAAAAGGATTTGCCTGGAACCCATTTATGATGATGCGACTTGTTGTCGTTTTGGTATTTATTTATTAGTCCTTAGCAATCTAATGTCACTTAATATATGTTTAAGGATATAGAAGTTCAACCAAACCACAATGCGAGTGTCAGTAAAACTGTTTTTGAAACACCAACATAAACAGGATATGGTTCTGAAAGTAAGATGCCAATGATAAGAATAAGTCCCAATAAAATATGGCTTTGACATGACTGTGAGAGTTTAAAAGATAAGCTGTGCTGATTATAAAAAGCACACAAAATCTATGCCTCAGTTCCACAAAATAAGAATTCTTTATTCTAAAGAATGATAATATTTCAACCAACACCAAAACTATCTTTCAGTATATTTCTCTCAAGCAGACCGTGACTCAGAAACTGGCCACCCTCAATAGGGTATTGCTTTTTTGTAGTATC